GCCGCGCCCGCCCAGCCGACTCGGAGAGGGGCCTGCAGAGCTGCCTGAGCTGACGCTGTCTTCCCCGGATTTGTCGGAGATCTCTGCTTCCCCGGAGGCAGAGGAGCGGTTCCTGAAGTCAGGTAGGCGTGAGGCCACGCAGCGCCCAGGCAGGGGCAGGAGTCTGGCTCCATGCTGCCGGCCTCACCCCGTGCTGCTGCCATTGGCATGAGTGTGAAGCAGACGCATTGATTGCTCACATGGGCACTACAGGGGCAGAGAGCAGGGAAGCATGAAGCCAGGGACGGTGGCCAAAGGGATCAGGCAAGCCCTGTGGCCTGGGCAGCCTCGCCGGGGCCTGTCTGCAGCCTGGGTCCTGCATCCGCGCTCTCGCGGCAGTCAGGCTGGGCTGTGTTGCATGGGCACCGTACTGCTAGCAGCAGCCCCCTCCAAGGGGGTGACACGTCAGGGCTGAGGCTTCCTGCCAGTTGGTCTCTGATGAATGTGCTTTGCAAGCCCGGTGTGGCACAAGGATGGCTGTGCTGGCCTAACGAGAAGCGCTCTTTTGCAGGGAGCTTTGAGAGCAAGCGGCAAAGGAAGCCCACGAAGAAGCTCTTGGAGTCCAATGACCTGGACACCACGTTCATGCCAAAGAAGGAGTGGACTCCGCCAAAGAAGGTGCATCCCTGCAGCTGGGCTGGACACGAATGCCACGCGGGCAGCAGACATAGCACGCATCCCCCATTCTGGGGCAGCCGAGGGGCCCTGGCTGGGGCATCCCTCATGGGTTATGCTTGAAACAGCCTCCTTTAAAGCCCCTTCCTGCAGGTGCCCATGCCCCCAGCACGGGGCTAGGCTGCTCCCACTCCACTTGGGCCAGGCCTTGCTGTCAGAGCCGCTGCAGAGCAGTGCGTGTCCTGCTGAGCAGAGCCCTTGAGCTGTGGCCATCGGGGGTGCCCGGGCTGGGTCCCGTGCTGGTGCCCAGAGAGCTGCTGCAGCACTCGGTACCTGCTGACTCACTTTGCCCAGAGACCTCTCCGGTCACGTGGCCGATAACGCCGAGCGGTGCTAGTCTAATGGGTTTCACTGTGGCTGAGACGTGGCCAGCAGCAGTAGCTCCTAGGAGGGCAGACTGGCCCGGGGCACAGCAGCTCTGTGCTGGGGTGAGTGCAGCTGGTAACTCATACCTGGTGTGTGCCCCCAGGGTGCCGGCCCCTCGGAGAGTGACAGCTCGGAGCTGTATTCACCTGCCCACTTCTCTGACCATGGCGAAGGTAGGCAGTGCGGGGCTCTGGGGCACTGGAAGCAGGCGTGGGCAGTGGTCAGCACATGCCATGGGGCTGCTATGCTAGCAGGATCTGCTCGCCCCACGTGGGGCTAGGGTGGAGGGAAGGGCTGGGCTGCTGCATGCGCTCTCAGTGGCCCTGGGATGGCCGCTTCACCGGGGGGAGCAGGAACCCCAGGCATAACCATGTCCTTCTCCCAGTGCGGAGGTGCCAGAGACAGCACGTCATTTCTCCCCAGGCTCTGTGCTGGCCAGGACTGCGGGCATGGGATGGGTCTGTGTTGCTGGGCCAGGCTGTGCAGCTGTGGCCAGCCCGAGCCAGGCTTCACTGGTCCTGAGACCTGCCTCTCTGCCTTCTCTCTCAGCTCCTGAGAAGCCCTCTGAGAAGCAGCGCAAGCGCAAGAGGCAACGGCACCCTTTGTCTGTGGCCCGTGGCAAGAAGGAGCGGAGCGAAGATGGCCTGGGGGATGCTCCCCACTCCGAGGTAGGGCGACCTCTGCCTGGTGCCATGAACCTGAGAGTCCCATGCCCCCTCGCTCCCCCGAAGGCTGGGGGCTCCCATCCTGCCACCGCGGCTGTGTGCTGGGTCCCAGGCGAAGGTCTTGCTCTGGACCAGCAGTTGCCTTGAGCTCCAGGAGGCCAGTGTCACTGCTCAGCTCCCTGCCCCATGCATGGGCACTGAATGGGGACACCACTGTGCTCGCTGGGCTGATTGAAGGTGTCCTCATGCCCCAGAGCTGTTTGCGGGAGTCCTGGCTTCTTGCTGCCAGAGAGGATTTTTCATGCCTTGCTGTTCACCTTTTCCTGCCTGCAGCCCACGGTCTGGGCTAGCTGGAGGGCGGTGGTAGAGGGCACTGAGGGTCACTAGTGAGACTGGGGACCTTGGGATCCCCCATCACAATCCTGCCTGCCAGCTGGAGGGAAGAGCTGGGCACTTCCCTTCTCCTAAGGGGGTGCCCCCTCACCTCCTGGACCTGCATGCACTGGAGCCGGTGGGCACCCCTCTGACGGGCATGCTTGAGGCAAGAGTTTGGTGTGCCCCAGTGCCTCTGGGGGCAGAGGGACACTCCTCAGTGCAGCCTCCTCTGCTGGACACTGGCACAGCTTGCAGCGTGCTCCCTGGCAGCGTCTGTGCCAGCTGCCTCAGAAGACATCTCCAAGCAGCCGGGTGAGCATGTGCTGCCAGCTGGCCTCAGGCAGACTGGGGAGACTGGGAGCTGGTCATACTGGACTGGGAAGTCCCTGGCATGGAAGCGCCTAACTCACTGGCAGAACCCTGCACCAGATGCCCAGGCTGGGAGCCAGCCAGGGAGCCATGGTGCAGCGCACAGCCTGGGTGCTGTGAGCTCACCTGTCCGTGGAGCCCAGGTGCATCTGCACGGCTTCAGCCTGGCAGAGAAGGTGCACGTGGGTCTATGGCCAGGCTTTGGGTCGGGGCGGAGGCGACCAGCCCGAAGGACAGCCGGGTTCCTGGAGTACTCCTGAGGCTGTGGCAGCAGCTTGGACAGTGCCAGGAGGTGGCGAGAGGGGCCTGCCTGCAGTATGAGGTATGTGACTTCTCCTGGCTCTCGGGTAGTGGGGCAGGGGGACTGCTGTTATACGTGCATGTGACACAGGTGGTGGAGCCCCCGTAGAGCCTGAGGGCTGCCTGCTTTCCCTGTCCCTCTGTGTCTGGCTGCATGGCACTGAACCCCAGTTGCACAGGTGCCCCAGCAGGCTTGTGGGCTTGGACATCCTGGGCTCTGGGTGGGCCCCAGCTGGATGGCTTCCCAGGCTCAAGCCAGCTGTAGAGCCATACGTCTTGCCCCTGACGGAGACCATGTGCTCTTACCTTGATGCAGACCTGCAGCAGGCTGCACTGCACTGCATCAGCTTTGCGAGTGGGCTTGGAGTGGGAGGGCCCCTTTGCCCCCAGCCACCCAGCTCGGGGCCTCCCTGGGACCATCTCCAGGTCCTTGGCAGACCAGACTGGCTGTGCGCATCTGATCCGGGGTAACGCCCGCTTGCTGGTGCCTTGACCCTGCAGGCGCGGCCTGTCCCCAGTGTTGTGCATCTTGGCTCTGGAGTTCGCGGGAGCCAATAAACCGATTAATCCTGCCTGCCCCTTGCCTCTCATTACAGGGCTTGCGCTGTACCGAGGCCGTGGCTAGCAGGAGGAGCAGGCCCCTGAGCCAGGCAGGGCTGCGCATGGGACCAGCGCGCTCGGTGCCTGGAGCTGCTGGAGAGGCGCTGCTAGGCTTCTGGAAAGACAGGAATGAAGCAGGCAGGAAGATGGCTCTGGGGATGGTCCCTGGTAGAGGTGGGAGGCCACAGGAGCTGGCCTACCTGAGGGAGCCCGTGGGGCCAAAGGCAGTGAGCATCATGACACCGATGGCAGGGCCGTGCATCTGCCCAAGGCTAACTAACCACCACCTCTGTGAGCGGGGCCGAGCCATGAACACATCTGCAGCCCGAGCCATATGCAGTGTAGTGTCTCGGTTTGGCACTCACCACTGGAGCTAGGGCCCAGCTCCAGTGCTCAATAAAGGAGACCGGCCCCGTGTCTGTGTGTGTTATGTGCTTCAGCCTCCTGGCGCCGCGCTCTGTCTGCCTCACCGGACCCGGGGCCTTGGCGCCTGCACCGGGAGCAGCTGCCAGCCAAGGCAGCGAGGCTGCCGTCACCAGGGTGCTCGTGCTATGCAGCGACCCAGCCTTGCTCTAACACTGTGCGCCTCAGCCAGACAGAGCAGGGCCAGGTCTGCTCCAGGGCTCCCCAAGTCCCTGCTGCAGGACCTCTTGCAAAGCCCTGTGCTGGAAGGGTGCGTTGGGACCAGCCCTCTGAGTAACTCGGGGGGTGGTGAGAGCCTGTCTTCTGCTCCTGCTGCTGTGTGCCTGCCAGGCCCTGGCGCGGCCCTGAAGTCTTGGGGCAGCAGGAGCAGCTGCCTTTGTGGGCACCGTGGGGCCATGGAGCAGACAAATGGCTGACCCCGCTGCTCCCTGCTGCACCTCTGCCCCCTGCACCCAGCAATAGTTGATGGCCTCCATGCATGCACCTAGCACCGCAGCAGGGTCAGGATGCCTGGGACAGCGTGGTCAGAGCTGGCTTTGGGCAGGGAGGGCTCTGTTGCCTGCCAGCAGCTCTGCAGGAGCTTGGCTTTGGCTGTCCCAGTACTGGGATGTGGCAGGTGCCCCTCATGGCCCTAGGCCTCCTGGCTCATTTCCCAGAAGCTGCTCCTTGTGCCGCAAGGCATCGCGGCCTGGACTCTGCCAGCCAGGCGCCATCGGTCATCACAGGCCCCCCGGCTGCAGCACAGGACACCGAGTAGCTCCCTCCCCAGACGGGGCAGCCGGCGGGGACCCTGCACTGCTGCTGTTCCCCCTGGCACCATCCTTTGGCCAGTCCCGCTGCTCCAGCATGTAGATGCACCTGTGGCTTGTTTTCAGGGTGATTGACCAGGAGTCGTCATGAGCCCCATCATGGGGGGGGTCCCAGCACTGCTCTGGCCCTGAGCTAAGCTGTGTCCAGGGCAAAAGGGAGCACATCTGCAGTCCAAGCAGCCGACACCTCAGGGAGGCTTTGCTTGGTGTGTGGGGCGAGTCCCAGCCCAGGCAGCAACTGCCACCGGTGCATGCCCCAGCCCTGGAGATGCTCATGGGCCGAACTCTGGTTCCTTCCTCCAGGGAGAGACTTCGGTGCACGGGGCTGCCACGAGCCCCAAGGAGGGCATTGAGGAGGGTTTGGAGAACGACCATGGGGTGCCATCATCCAAGAAGATGCAAGGGGAGCGCGGTGGGGGAGCCGCCCTCAAGGAGAACGTCTGCCAGGTAGAGCCCAGGGCCACGGCAGTGGGGAGCAGTGTCTTCGTGCCATTGCCTGACTGTGGGACTCAGGGACGGGCGAGTTCTCAGGCAGCCATGGGACCCCTGGCCCCGGGTGAGCTTGTGCTGGTGCCAACCATGTTCCCTTCCTACAGATCTGCGAGAAGCCGGGCGAGCTGCTGCTGTGCGAGGCGCAGTGCTGCGGCGCGTTCCACCTGCAGTGCCTGGGGCTCTCGGAGATGCCCAAGGGCAAGTTCATCTGCAACGAGTGCTCCACAGGTACGGACCAGAGCATGGCCGCTGCAGGAGGGATTGAGCCACGCGCCCATCTCTGGGTGCAGCAGTGGGCAGGGGCTGTGGCTGCCCTCTCCCGCACGAGCCCACGTGACCGGGGCCGTGTTGTGTGTTGTTGCTGCAGGCGTCCACACCTGCTTCGTGTGCAAGAGCAGTGGGGAGGATGTGAAGCGATGCCTGCTGCCTCTGTGCGGGAAGTACTACCACGAGGCCTGTGTCCAGAAGTACCCACCCGCCGTTCTGCAGAGCAAGGGCTTCCGCTGCTCGCTGCACATCTGCATGACCTGCTACGCTGCTAACCCCACCAACGTCTCTGCCTCCAAAGGTAGGGGCACCGCCAGCACCCGCGGGCATGGGGGCACCCAACTTCCCTCCCCTCCTCTGCCTCCTGCTACCCCTGTTTGACACAGCCCCACTAGTGCCAGCTGCTTCTGCTGGCCCTTTTCCTCTGCGTGTTGCCCCTGGTGCCCCGTGGCAACCAGAGGAATCCAGGAGTGTGGGCTCATGGCTCAGACGATCCTGGCGCCTGCCCACGCCGGCTTGCAGCTGCTCTGCACTGCCCTGGGACGATGCGGGGAGGGCACTCGGGGGCTCGCGCAGCACTTCACCCTTGAATCCTGGAGCCCAGTCCTTGTGCCCATCTGCACAGGGACAGCGGGGCCAGTTGGACAGCCTGTGGGTCTTAGGCCCGCTGCTTCTCCTCCATCCCCCATTCCTGGGTTGCATCAGAGCCACCCGGCATGGGAGAGGTGAGAGCTGGTTGTTGCAGATGCTGGGCCGGGTTTGCGTGTCTGTGACCCTTGCATCCCTGCAGCTGGTCACTAGCCTCTGTGCAGGGTGAGGAGCTGCCTCGGCCCTGAGCCCTCACTTCTGCACCCCAACAAAAGGGGTTCTGGCCCACTGAGTGACCGGGGTTTGCCGGGCAGTGCAGCAGTGCAGGGGGTCAGGGTTGTGTTTGCAGAGGGGGCTCCTTCCCTTGCAGCACGACCACAGCCTGAGCTGGGGCGCTGAGCCCCCAGCTGCTGTGGCCCCCGCTCATGCCCCCGTGTCCCCGGGCAGGCCGCCTGATGCGCTGTGTGCGGTGCCCAGTGGCCTACCACTCCAACGACTTCTGCCTTGCCGCCGGCTCCGTGGTCCTGGCCTCCAACAGCATCATCTGCCCCAACCACTTCACGGCGCGCCGGGGCTGCCGCAACCACGAGCACGTCAACGTCAGCTGGTGCTTCGTCTGCTCGGAAGGTGAGCCGGGGCCTGGCTGGCGGGCTGCAGGCTGGGCACCTGGGGCTGGCTTCTGGAGACGCCCGCAGCCAGTCTCGTGGGTGCCGCTGCACCCTGCACCGTGGGTCAGGCCAGAGCTGGGTGTGTGTGGTGGGGCACCAGGCTCGCCACGCAGCATCCCTGGGCTGCAGGAGTGGGCATCCAAGGGGAGCGTGGTGTCCTCTGGCATGCCCAGGGCTGGCCTCGGCGCTCCGTGGCACTGACACCCCGTCCCTCTCTCAGGGGGCAGCCTGCTGTGTTGTGAATCGTGCCCGGCCGCCTTCCACCGTGAGTGTCTGAACATCGAGATGCCTGAGGGCAGCTGGTACTGCAACGACTGCAAGGCGGGCAAGAAGCCGCACTACAAGGAGGTGGTCTGGGTGAAAGTCGGGCGCTACAGGTGGGCAGAGGACACATTCCTGGGTCTCTTCCCACATGGCAGACTTTGCTGGGAGGGTGGGGGTGCAGTGGGGTCTGGTCTGGGGCCCCCACAGGCAGTCCTGGGCACCGTTTCCTCCTAGTCCTTTCTCCCTGACCGGGTTTCCCGTGCTGCGGCATGGGGCTGTCTCAGGCTGCCCAGGGCCACAGCACCAGAGGTCTGAGCTGCTCTCTGTGTCCCTCCCTTGGACAGGTGGTGGCCAGCTGAGATCTGCCATCCCCGCACAATCCCGGCCAACATCCAGAAGATGAAGCATGACATTGGAGAGTTCCCGGTGCTCTTTTTCGGCTCCAAGGACTACCTGTGGACGCACCAGGCTCGCGTCTTCCCCTACATGGAAGGCGATGCCAGCAGCAAGGACAAAATGGGCAAGGGGGTAGACGGCATCTACAAGAAAGGTAATGCCCACCTCTCCCCGTCCAGCCCTGCCATGCCCCGCTCCTTGGGGACCCCCAGACCCCACCCTGGGCCCCTGGCCTTCTCATAGATTTCATAGACATTAGGGCTGGAAGGGACCCTGGAGGATCATTGAGTCCAGCCCCCTATCCGAGGGGCGGGAAGTCAGCTGGGGTCATAGGATCCCAGCAAGATAAGCATCCAATTTTTTCTTGAAGGTGTTCAATGTAGGCGCTTGAACCACCTCCGGCGGCAGGCTGTTCCAGACCTTGGGGGCTCGGACAGTAAAGAAGTTCTTCCTTCTGTCCAGCCTGAAACGATCTTGAAGTAGTTTATGACCATTCGACCTAGTCGTCATCCCTTGGGGCGCTCTGGTGAACAAACGTTCCCCCAGATGCTGGTGGTCACCCCTGATAGACTTGTAGGTGGCCATCAGATCACCCCCGAGCCTGCGCTTTTCCAGGCTAAAGAGCCCCAGGGCTCTCAGCCTGGCATCGTAGGGTCTGCTTCCCTGACCTCTGATCATGCGCGTGGCTCTTCTCTGCACTCTCTCAAGCTTCTCCACATCCTTTTTGAGTTGTGGAGCCCAAAACTGGACGCAGTACTCCAGCTGCGGCCTCACCAAGGCGCAGCACAGGGGAGAATGACGTCCCGGGATTTATTTGCTTGAGAAGCATCTGGATGCAAGCCAGCGTTTTGGTCGCTTTACTAGCCGCAGCATCGCACTGCAGGCTCATGTTCATCTTGTGGTCAATGATGACCCCCAAGTCTCTTTCTTGCACAGTGCTAGCCAACATAGCACTGCCGAGCCTGTAAGCATGCTGCAGGTTTTTCTTCCCAAGGTGGAGAACCTTGCATTTTTTGGTGTTAAACACCATCAGGTTCTCGTCCGCCCATTTCCTGAGCCTGTCCAGGTCAGCCCGTGCTCAGGTGTGGATGCTTTATCCCAAAGTTTGGTATCATCGGCAAACTTGGCCAGTCCGCTTCTGACTCCAATGTCCACATCATTAATGAAGATGTTGAACAATATGGGTCCTCCTGCCTTGGCCAGCCTTCTGCCCTGTGCTGTCCTGGAGTACATGATGCAGCAGTGCTGGTGCAGGAGGGCTTGTCTGGTAGTGGCAGGGCTGTGTGCCTAGTGGGTGGAGCGAGCAAGACTCCCGGGAAGGGCTGTTGGGCAGCTCCCTGTGGGGCTGGGGTGCAGGCATTGCGTGGGTGCTGGAGCTCCAAGTGATGCAGCCGCTGCTCTGCCCAGCTCTGCAGGAGGCAGCCGCACGGTTCGAGGAGCTGAAGGCGCAGAAGGAGCTGAGGCAGCTGCAGGAAGACAAGAAGAATGACAAGAAGCCTCCTCCCTACAAGCACATCAAGGTGGGGGTGCAGGCAGGGGCTGGCACGGCTGCACTTCCTCTGGCTCCCTCCTGCTGGAGGATGCGCTGGCGTGGCTGGCAGCCTGGGGACGGGGGTGCTCTGCTATGCAGCTGGGCGGCAGCCACACGCAGGTGGCTCCTCCCGCGTGGGTTGGCTGGGGAGAGCTCAGTGCAGTACGGCTCTGAGGCCCCAGAGCATGCGAAGTTGCAGGTGCTGGGGTATTGCAGCCTTGGGGAGCAGAAAGGAGTATGCGGACAGCCCCTGTGCATCGGCTTTGTGGCTGACACAGCCTCTCTGCACTCTGCTGTGTGGGGCTGTGACCCCAGCACAGGCAAAGCACAGGGGAGGGCAATGAGGGAGGGGGCCTCAGGCTGAGCGGGCCCCTCTTGGCTGGGGACCCTGAGGCATGGAGCTGCCTGGAGCCCAGCAGCTCCTGGGCCAGCTGGTGCTTGGTGAGGGATGACCCCAGGGATGGGGAACATGGTGTCTCGGGCCCCAGATGCATCTGAGCCCTGCCTCAGCTTCGCCCCTGCTTGCTTCCTCCTGCCTTCATGCAACTGCTCTGTCAAGGGCTCCAGGAGGTCCAAGCCTCGCGGGCTCCAGTGTTACAAGCTGCAGCCATTAGCCAGGACAGCACCGGCAGCTGGTTCGGGGCAGGACCAGGTGGGGGTGATCCCTGCAAGGGGAGCTGGCCGGCAGCCGGCCCAGTCCCACGGGGAGTTCTGCTTCCTCAGTCCAGTGTCGCTGGGCAGTGCTGTCAGCCTGGGGATGCAGGGATCTGTGCAGGAGCCCAGTGCGGGGTCCCTTGGCAGAGAGTGGCAGGGCCAGGCCTTCCTGGCTGTGCAAATGGTCTCTGCATTGACAGGGTCTGAGCCTGCTCCAGCAGCTGGTTTCCAGACCTGGGGCCTCCGCGCATTGGGCATGGGAAGCCCAAGTCCTCAGGAGCTGATGGTGTGAGGGCAGGGAGCAGCCCCCAGGAAGAGCGGGTGCAGCGCTGGGCTGCAGGCCCCTGAGTGCTTCGATCTGATGAGCGGGCGGGCGAGGACCACTGTGGGGTGCCTGCCTGGGGGTCGCCGCGGGGGCTGGCCGCAAGCCCCGAGTGTGCGCACAGGTCGGGCCCCTGCACCCGTCGAGCTGCCTGCCCAGGGCAGCCTGGAGCTGCTGCATGGCCACCTTCCGACCTGTGCGCCCTACCTGTGCCCCAGGTGAACCGGCCCGTGGGCAAAGTGCAGATCTGCACGGCTGACCTGTCCGAGATCCCGCGCTGCAACTGCAAGCCCACGGACGAGAACCCCTGCGGACTGGACTCGGAGTGCATCAACCGCATGCTGCTGTACGAGTGCCACCCGCTGGTGTGCCCGGCCGGCGAGCGCTGCCAGAACCAGTGCTTCTCCAAGCGCCAGTACCCCGAGGTGCAGATCTTCCGCACGCTGGCCCGCGGCTGGGGCCTCCAGGCCAAGATGGACATCCGCAAGGTACCTGGCCCCCGCTGACCCCCTCGTGCAAGGGAATGGCTGCACTCGGGGTCTGGCCCCATTCCTTTCCAAGCGGCAGGGAGGCATTGCTCTGGCTGGGAGAGGCTGTGGTTTCGCTGTCCCTGCGGAAATGCAGAGAGCCAGCCCCTCAGTGGCACTGGGTGCTCGTCTGCACTGAGGCTGCCCAGAGAGGGGGCCCCAGTTGCACTGGGGCTGTGGCTTGGAGCAGCAGCCTTGCTAACAGCGGCACTGCTGCCCTGCCCTCACTGCGGGGGGATGCCACGGGGGGTCTCTACCTCCCCCTCCAACCAGGGGGTCGGCATGGGGCAGCCCCCGCTGAGTGACTGCCTGCTGCTGTCCACGCAGGGTGAGTTCGTCAACGAGTATGTGGGGGAGCTGATTGACGAGGAGGAGTGTCGTGCCCGCATCCGCTACGCCCAGGAGCATGACATCACCAACTTCTACATGCTGACGCTGGACAAGGTGCGTGGGCAGCCGCCTTGGCCCTGGGCAGGGTGTGCACCAAGGGCTGCTGCAGAGGTGACAGTGCCCAATTGCTCTCTGTGCCCACGGCAGGACAGGCCGCAGCATGGCCCCTGGGTTTATGCCAGGTGCCTAAGTTCCCCCAGGGAGGGAAATGTCAGGGCATGTGGCCCGTGGGTGGTGGGATCCCTGCTGGGATGGCCCAGCTGCTCTGCCCCTGCCCCTGCCCTAGCATTGCGCCTGGCCATGGCGCAATGGGGTCGGACTTGATGATCTATTGAGGTCCCTTCCGGCCCTAGCATCTATGAATCTAGGTGGTCCCTAGGCCCTGGCTGCAGGGAAGGCCACCCTGCCTGTAGGTAGACACGATGGCACGGGGAAGCCCCACGGCACTGCCTGGCCCAGGAGGCGCCCAGGACCCCTTCTCACAGTGCTCTGTGTGCACAAGCTGCCTGGACACTCCAGGTTTCCTGGACAGCCCTGGCACCAGGGACCGGCTGCTCTGCCTTCACATGAAAGGATTTAGGGGCACAGGAGCTCTGCAGGGAGGGAAACGGGCTGTGGGCACAGCAGCAAACCGCCCCCAGGCTCTGATCACCACATTGAGCCCCCCGTCCCCTCCCTGGGGTTGCTGTGCTGTGCACGTGGTCAGCTAGTCCCTCCAAGGGGAGCACCGGCCCAGGTGCTGCGTGAGCCCAATGGGCACTGGCTCCTGCGGGTGCTCTCCTGGGCTGGCGGATGCCAGCTGGGTGCCCCTGTGCTGGGGCAGGGAGGGCTCCCACCAGCTGGTGACTGTGCCCCCACCTCGTGATTGCAGGATCGAATCATCGACGCGGGGCCAAAGGGCAACTATGCCCGGTTCATGAACCACTGCTGCCAGCCCAACTGCGAGACGCAGAAGTGGTGCGTGAACGGCGACACGAGGGTCGGGCTCTTTGCCATTGTGAATATCAAAGCCGGTAAGGGCCCGCTGGGCTGCCCGGGGAGTGTCTGGCTGGGGTGGGAGCAGGGACAGGGGTGCCTTGTCTTCTGTCCTGTCTGGTGAAGAGAGCCATGGGAGAAGGTGAGACCTGCTAGGGCCAAACACCAGAGCCAGGCCCCAGGCAGGCAGGAGAGTCCTGGTTGTGCAGGGCTTGGGCCCCAGTACTGCGATCCCAGGACAGCTCTGGGCAGGGGCGGGGGGGATGGGCCGAACCAGTTGGCTGGCAGGTGACGGCTGTTGCACGTAGCCCTTGGTCTGAGGGATGGGGGACTTGGTGCCACTCTCCGTTCAGGTCGGCCCTTGGGTCGTCACAGGTCAGGTGCCTCCTACAAGCCTCTTTCGTTGCCAGGCACGGAGCTGACGTTCAACTACAACCTGGAGTGTCTGGGGAACGGGAAGACAGTTTGCAAGTGTGGGGCCCCCAACTGCAGCGGCTTCCTCGGCGTGCGGCCCAAGGTACGACAGCCTTTCTGGCGCCGTTCTTCTTCCGAGCGTGCCCTCCCCAGCGCAGCGGCTCCGTGCCCTGCCGGGAGCACAGGGCTTGCAGTGCACCGCAGCCACCGAGACGTGGGGTTAGGGGGGACCTGCAAAGGTCACGTCTGAGGCAAGGTCAGCCCTGCCCAAACCAGCCCAGACAAACCCATGGTCTAATCTGGGTAAACACTGCTTAGATTAAGACAGACTACAAAAGTGGGCAGGTGAGAATCAGATGGGGTTCGACGTAGACAAGTGCAGGGTGCTGCACCTGGGGAGAAGGAATCCACAGCATACATACAGGCTGGGGAGTTCCCTTCTTGAAAGCACAGGGGCGGAAAGGGATCTTGGAGTCATTGACTCCAAGATGAACATGAGCCGCCAATGCCAGACCACAGCCAGCAAGGCCAGCCACACCTTGTCGTGCATCCAAAGGTGCATCTCAAGCGGGTCCAGAGAGGTGATACTCCCCCCCTCTATGCGACTTTGGTCAGGCCGCAGCTGGAGTACTGCGTCCAGTTCTGGGCGCCACACTTCAGGAGGGATGTGGCCAGCATGGAGAGGGTTCAGAGGAGGCCACCCACTTGGGGCGAGGGCAGCAGGACAGGCCCTACGAGGAAAGGCCATGGGACCTGGACCTGTTCAGCCTCAGCAAGAGGAGGCTGAGGGGGGACCTGGTGGCTGCCTACAAGCTCATCAGGGGGGATCAACAGCAAATAGGCAGAGCCCTTTTCTCCCCAGCACCACCTGGGGTGACGAGGAGCAATGGTCCTAAGCTGATGGAGAACAGGTTTAGGTTGGAGATCAGAAGGCAATATTTTACAGTTAGGGTGGCCAAAATCTGGAACCAACTTCCCAGGGAAGTGGTCCTCGCCCCTCCCTTGAGCATATTCAAGTGGGACCCCAGCTTTCATTCCTGCCTGTGGCAGGGGGTCAGGCTAGACGATCTGTTCAGGTCCCTCCTGACCCTAGCTGCTATGACACTATGCTGTCTGCAGTGTGGGCAGCAAGGGCCTGGCAGTGTCCCTCACTCGAGTCACGGGAGCCTGACATCTCGGAGGTGTTGAGGGTTACGGGCCTTCTCTGTTGCCAGGGGGGTTTCGCAAATGCCCGGCGTAGGCAGGGGCGGTTTGTATCCATGGGGGGCAGCGATTGCTCCTCTCAAGCACTGACCTTATTGTAATAAGATGTATTCCCTCATTTGTGGTAAAAATGGCCCCTGGCAGCCGCCCGCCTACCACGTGCCAGGCCAGAGCGTGGGCATAATAACCCCCAGCAATAAACCAGAACAAAGCTGTCCGCGAGCGAGCTCCCGTCGGGCTGCTGCTGAGCTCGGTTCCTCTGGCCACGGCCCGGGAATGGAGGCCAGGAAGACCAGCGCGCTCTGGGCTGTTCAGTTGATGTGGGAAGCACGTGCTAGAGTCGACAGCCCAGGCCAGGCTGGTCCCGCCTGCTGGGGCAGCCATGCGGAGATCGGGGCCAAGGGCATGACAGGGGAGCTGCCATGCAGAAGGCTGGGCTCCTGCAGCTTCCAGGGCCTGGGGTCCATCGCCCTGCATTGCACAGCAGACATCTGCTTCTGCGCCTGGTCTCCCTGTTTGCACAGGGCTCCTTGAGGAGGCAGGGAGAGCAACGCAGCGCTGGGCATGGCTGCAGGCTTCCTCGCTGGGGCCGAGCTGCAACCAGGCTGGTGCCACGAGCTTCCTCAAACTCCCAGCCTGAGCAGAGCATCAGAGGCCGCAGCAGGCAGGCGCGGGAGCCACCGAGGTCTGCGCCAGCAGACGGAGCGAGGTCCCACTGCGGTTTTGCTTCTGTTCCGTGGGGCTTTCCAGCGGGTGGCAGCTGGGCCCTGTCATGCCACAGGCCGCTCCGCTGCGTGCTCCAGCTGTCCCCGTGCCCCGCTCCTGGGCTGTGCGAGTGCTTCGTGGGCTGTGGGGGCAGCTGGAGCTCTGCAGAGGGACAGGAGCAGCAGGTGCCGGGCCCAGGGCTGCAGGAGCGATGCACATGTCAGGACCGTGCCAGGGTCAAGAGCAGTGATATTGAACCTCCTCCCTTGGATTCCAGAGTTGCCTTGAGCCGTGCTGGCCAGGGCAGCCTCCCCCGCTCCTGCCGCTCCACGCGCAGCTTGGGGCTGCCACCGACTCGCACAGGACCCGGTGTCTTCGTGCTCCTTGGATGCGAGCTGGGAGCCACTCGGGGAGCGGTTGGTTACTGCAGGCGCCGCTGGCTCTATCGCTGTGGGGGAATGCACTGGGTGCAGCTCGGGACATGTTGCAAAGGCCCAGCGCAGATGGTGCCTGCCAGGGGCACATCCTTCTTCAGACAGGGCTGGTTCCTCGACCTGAGGAGGCAGTGCCTCCCTGGCAGTCATGCAGAAGCGCCTAGAAATGCCCGTCTCTGTCCTCCTGAGTCCCAGCAGCATTGTGCATGACAGCGGCTGCAGCACCTGGCCACCCTCAGCCTCATGACGCTGTGCACTTGCATTGCCAAGGCTGAGCCCCGCACGCCACGAGTTGGGTCGGTCATGGTGACGGGGCTCTCGGGTGTCTCTGTGCGCTGCCAAATGTGCTAACAGTGTGGCGCGGGGTGCAGCGAGGTTTCTCTGCTGCCCTGCCCTTGTCCCATCACATGTGCTTCAGCTGATCCGCGGCCGGGCCCAGGGGCTCTCTGCTCCGCTCCCTGCCTGGGTCGCCGGCCTGCCCCTTTGCAGTGTGAGCTCACGGGATGAAACCCCGGGCTGGGTCGGGTGAGGGAGGCAGCCGCGGAGGAGCCAGGCCTGCCCAGCCCACCTTGGCCAGGGGCTTTCAGAGCCCGTCTCTGGTGTGGTCGGCGGCCTGGGTCTCATTTTGGAGGCTGCCTCAGCTCCATGGTACACGGTGTAGTGGAGCCAGAGCTGACGCGTGCTATCCCCCCACACAGAGCCAGCCAAATCCTACCGAGGAGAAGTCCAAGAAGCTGAAGCGGCGGCCGCTAAAGCGCCGGTCGCAGGCCGAGGTCATGAAGGAGCGGGAGGATGAGTGCTTCAGCTGCGGGGACGCGGGGCAGCTGGTGTCCTGCAAGAAGCCGGGCTGCCCCAAGGTGTACCACGCCGACTGCCTCAACCTGACCAAGCGGCCTGCAGGTCAGTGCACAGGCCACGGGAGCCTCGCGGTGCTGCCGGCTGGCGCGGGTGTTGCTCCTGGCTCTGCTCAGGCCTGGGGGCCCTGTGGCAGCCACCAACCATGGGTCAGTCGCTGCGGCTGGGATCGTGACCGGGGCACACCCAGCGCCCCAAACCTGGGGGGCGATTGTGTGGAACTGCTGGGAGGGAAGAGCAGGAGCTGTTGAAAGGAAGCCATGAGCCAGGGCTTCACAAGCAACCATGGCGGGGGGCTGTGACTGGAGGCCCGTCCCAGGTCCCTGCAAAGTACTGCAAGCCAGCACATGGCAGAGGGCAGCAGGGGCCTGTGTGGTGATGAGATGCAGGAGACCTGCGGGGGAAGCGCAGGGGCTGGAAAGGCAGGGAGAGGTTCCTGGAGTGCACTGAGGAGCAGGAAATCCCGGGCATGGAACGAGCTCGAGCTCGTTACCGCAGGGGCTGGCGGTGCAGCAGGGCGAGGTGCGGGCTCACAGGCGGGAGGAAGGAGGGCGGTGTGCTCACCACACGGGATGGGGAAGTGCTTGGCAGCCCCGAGCAGCGGAGGAGGATGTGGAGCAACATCTAGGGATGGCCCAGGCAGCGTGCCCCCGAGTCCTCACGGGGCCTGGCCCTGCAGGGAGATTCCAGGCAGCTGGAGGAAGCCCTGTGTGTGCCAGGCTTGGAAAGGGAAGTGGTGACACGGGTGGTGATGGGTTGGACCTGGTGCTGGGGAGAAGACTGGAAAAGCTGAGACGGGTGTCAAGTGATGAAAAATCAAGTGCCCGCACGATGCACAAGTCCCGTCCATGGGGCAGGAGTGGGCCCAGTGAGGAAAACCTGACTGGTCCTGGCTTGGTCGATCGAGGGCACTGCACAGCTGTAGTTGACTCGGTCCCATGAAGCCTTGGCCCTCGCACCCCCCAGCAGCCTGGTAGCGTAGACGAGCCCCGTGTAGCAGACACGGGTTCAGCCTCGCTGCGCAGAGCTGGTGGCAGCGGCAGGGACACCAGCCCCCGTTGGCACATCACCCATGCTGTTGGAGTCCATCGAATTGTTGCCAACGCCACCAGGTGACACAGCCTGGCACAGAGGTGAATGCCGACCAAGCCGGGCCAGCGTGCAGAGCCGTCTGGCTTGCTCTGCTGCAACTCCACTTAAGTGCATTGTGCCCACATAGCCGGGGTGCAGAGTGTGCACCTGGGGGGCTGTGGGGTGCCGGGCACGTGAGGCAGGAAGGGGTCACCAGAGCAAAGGGATGCTCAGCCAGGGGCTGGGGCATGGGCATCGTTCACGAGATCAACCCAGAGACTGGAAATAGGAACCGCGGTTTCAAAACCACTCTGAGCTGTCTTAGGCTTCTGAGGCCTTTGCCGGGCAGGAACGCTGCAGCATTTTTCTGTGGGCAAAACCGAGCTGAGAGCTGGCATTTCCCGAGGGGGGTTGGGGCCTAGAACAGATGAGAGCCGCCGACTGGCCCGCCCCCATCACGCCTTTGTCCGGGCGGCCTCCGAGCGAGAGGGCACCACAGCTTTCCTGGCAGGTCCCTGGCACCCTGGTCCTGCCCAGACAGGACAAATGTCCATCCTGTGCCAGCCAACACCTGCCTCCAGCCCACTGGCTGTCCTCTTTTGCAAACTCTTTTATCAGTGATTTGGACAACAGGGTGAAAAGCAACCTGTTTACATTTGCTGATGATACCAAAATCTGGGGTGAGGTGGGCACGCTAGTAGGGAGGGAAAGACTGCAGCAAGACCTGGATAGGTTGCAGGGGTGGGCTAACAAAAACAGGATGCATTTCAAAACGGACAAGTGCAGGGTGCTGCACCTGGGCAGTAGTAACCGGCAGCACACTTATAAGATGGGAAACTCCCTTCTTGAGAGCACGGAGGCAGGAAGGGATCTTGGAGTCATCACTGACTCCAAGATGAACATGGGCCGACAATGCGAGGTCACGGTCGGGAGGGCTAACCAGACCCTATCGTGCATCCACAGGTGCATCTCAAGCAGGGCCAAGGAGGTGATCCTCCCCCTCTACGCGACACTGGTCAGGCCGCAGCTGGAGTACTGTGTCCAGGTCTGGGCACCCCACTTCAAGAGGGATGTGGACAGCATGGAGAGGGTCCGGCGGAGGCCACCCACATGATCCGGGGACAGCAGGGCAGCCCCCACAATGAGAGGCTACGGGACCTGAACCTGTTCAGCCTTCACAAGAGAAGGCTGAGGGGGGACCTTGTGACCATCTATAAACTCACTAGGGGGGACCAGAAGGGGTTGGGGGAGACCCTGTTTCCCCCAGCGCCCCCCGGGATAACAAGGAATAATGGCCACAAGTTGTTGGAGAGTAGGTTCAGATTAGACATCCGTAGGAACTACTTCACAGTCAGGGCGGCTAGGATCTGGAACCAGCTTCCAAGGGAAGTGGCGCTGGCTCCTACCCTGGGGGTCTTTAAGAAGTGGCTCGATGCCTACCTGGCTGGGGTCACTTGAGCCCAGTTTCCCTCCTGCCCAGGCAGGGGGTCGCACCTGAAGATCTACAAGGTCCTGTCTGACCCGACTTCTAGGATTCCATGAAACGGAAAGGCTCCTGCCGCCCTCCCCCTTCTGAACTAAACAGCCTGCTCCTTCGAGCTCTCTGCAGCCTGCCCAGTGGGTCGTTGCCAGCTGAGGCCCCAGCAGCGTGGAGCAGAGCAGGATTGTTCCCTCCTCTGCTTCCAGGCATGAGCCCCCGATCTGGGGATCTGCCTTTTTGGTCTAGCTGCTGCCCCCTGCGTGTCCACACCTGGGATTTCCCCTGCCGGCGGGCAGCCAGGTGGGGCTAGCCAGGGGCAGCAGAGGAGGAGGTGAAGCGACGTCCTTACGGAATGAGGCATGGTTGATTTGAGACGGTCTCTCTTGCGGGTCAAGGTCCGTGTCGCCCCAGGTGCTGGACGTGTTCTCTCTGGTCTGGGGCAGGGCCGCACGGAGACGGGAGCCAGGAACAGCTGCTTCTGGACAGGCTGCTTCCAGCCAGGAGAGAGGAGCTGGGAGAGGGAGGGTTATTTCCTTCTTGTCTTCTGGGCACTTGCAGATAGGTGGTCAGCGGTTTGTTCTGGGTCTCCCCAGGCTTGGAGTTGGGCCGACGGGTCCGTAACCCCCAGCTCCTCCGTTTGCCTCGGAGACAGCCTGGCTACCCTCTGGCAGGTGAATGAGCTGCTGCCGCCCGGCTGCGTTTGGGCCCTGGGCCAGCCGGGGCTCAGCTGTGCTGGGTGGAGCAAGCAGGCAGCTCCCGCCCGGCACAATGCCGCAGCACAGGGCGGGCGGGCGGGCGGGCGCAGTGCGTAGGGGGCTCCTACCCCACTGGCGCGGTGCCCAGCAGTGTGAAATGGGTGGAGGAGAGCTGGAGGAGGAGCCGGCGGGGAGAAGCTTGATGGTCACAGTCAGGAGCCAGAAGGGCTTGTTCCCAGCGCCTGGCCCCCGAACAGGTCGCCCCGGAGCATGAGCACAGCCCGGTTTGCAAAGGGCTGGGGCAGGTGTAGTGAGGATGGGGCCCCGGGTAGTGGCTGAGCATTGCTGTCTGGGCCATCTCCTCTGCCAGCCCTTCACCAGCGCTGGCATTCAGAGGGGTTGGCAGGGCTGGGTTGCACTACATGTGCTCGGTACATGGGCTCCCTTCCCTGCTAATGCATCTGCTGCAACCGTGCTCGGACTCAGGGTGCTGGGCTGGAGCAGCCACAGGTCCAGTGCCGCAGCGTTGGTGTCTGTGCTCGCGTCCCAGCCCACGGCTCTAATAGACCTTCCCAGGGAGGGCATGCAGGGACCAGCAGGCTGAGAGGGGCAGAGCTGGGAGGCAAAGCCGGGTGCATGCAAGGCCGAGGCTGGCTGGCGAGGCCCGGGGAAGGCACTCCCATCCCATCCCATGGGGCCACGGTGGAAGAGCCCAACCCCTCCTCAGCCTGGCTTGGGGTGAGGCGCTGGCCCTTCCACCAGCCGGAAAAGCCCAGAGCGAAGGGGCGGGGATGGGACAGGACCATGCATCTCTCTGCCCGTGGCCCCCTCCCACGGTGGCGAAAGCAGGGGGAGCTGCCCAAGCCCCTTTGGGGGGCACTGAGCACCTGTGAGCCTCCAGCGCCAGCCTGACTCTGTAGCAGGGCCCCAGGCGCTGGAGCCTGGGCTTCCTGGCAGCAGCCTCTGGGCCGAAAGCTGGAGCAGCCTGAAGCACGGAGACTCCTGGCCTCGGCGTCTGTCCGCAGGGTGTCCCCCAAGCGAGCTCCTGGCAGAGAGCCCTCAGCTGCCCCAGCCACACTCAGCCATGCCTTTCTCTCCTGTTCTTGCCGCAGGGAAGTGGGAGTGCCCGTGGCACCAGTGCGACCAGTGTGGCAAGGAGGCGGCCTCCTTCTGCGAGATGTGTCCACGATCCTTCTGCAAGCAGCACCGCGAGGGCATGCTCTTCATCTCCAAGCTGGATGGGCGGCTGTGCTGCACGGAGCACGACCCCTGCGGGCCCCAGCCATGCCTTTCTCTCCTGTTCTTGCCGCAGGGAAGTGGGAGTGCCCGTGGCACCAGTGCGACCAGTGTGGCAAGGAGGCGGCCTCCTTCTGCGAGATGTGTCCACGATCCTTCTGCAAGCAGCACCGCGAGGGCATGCTCTTCATCTCCAAGCTGGATGGGCGGCTGTGCTGCACGGAGCACGACCCCTGCGGGCCCCACCCCCTGGAGCCGGGGGAGATCCGTGAGTACGTGCCTCCGGCCG